GAAAGTTTATTTTCAAGGAGACCAGGAGCACTTTTTGAGCATGGGCAGTGTTGGAAAGTGAAAATGTATTTCCACATCATTTTCGCTCAAAATCATATTGGGCCATTTTCTTACAAAAACCGTTTCCTGTCCTTTCTTCATACACAAACAGCGTGTTGATTGTTAACAATAAAAATACTCGTTTACGATCGGATAGATTAACGTGAGCAGTAATACTATTTCGATTAATAATTTCGAAATGAGTAAACGGGATTAAAAATGAAAAATTTTTTTGTACACTTGTTTATGAAATATACGATATCCTCTATAGTTAGAATGAGTGCACTGGTATAAGAAGAACCAGGATTGAACTGTTTTAAACCGATCAAGCATCTTCATGGAGAGAAATATCACTACTTTATTCTAAAAGAAAAAAACACACTCCGCCACTGCGAACCACCATCCGCGTTGACCTTCAGACTAGTGCATGATTTTATATTTTCTTTGTTCCTGTCTTGTGCATGCGCTTATATATCTTTTTTTCTTTTCTTTCTGTGAAGTCAAGTAAGCTGGAAAATACATTGAAATACCATCGTAATGGTAAAACATTCATAGTAATGGTAATGGTTAAAAGAATTGCATAAAATAGGAGCAGAGAGCTACAAATTCCTTGATTTCTAGATTTCTTCGTTTCTAAGTTTGCGGAGTCCCATTCTTGTCGAAATATACAGGAACCTTCAATTTCGCATCTTAAAGCAAAAGCAAGTGGGACATTATGGCAAACAAAAGTGAGTATGCACTTTGCCGTTCTCCCTCAAAGCCTCTCTTCATGTAGGAGAGACAAAGAATGCGAGCTTTAGACATGCATATTTGTCTAGATGTGACACATTTCAATCGCTTGCGAATGAAGTGATTCTTGAAATCTTTGAATATTTTCACGCTTATGATATTCTCCACTCATTTCTTTGACTAATCGCCGTTTCAATGAACTAATTGGTAGCCTACAGTTTGATCTTAACTTTCAGCGCATCAGCAAGTCCAGCTCTAGCTTTATCTGCGAACGCTTTCCATCAACCGTACAACGCATTGATAGTAAACAAGATTCTCACAACACTTGATCTTTTAGTGAACGAATTATCCGGTAGAGGAGATCGCACTAGATGAAGAGATGAAGCACTAGTAGAAGCACTGAAAGTATACTAGAGACGAAGGAGTCAAACTCTTGGCAATGTACATTTGTTTAGATGTGACGCAATTTCAGTCGCTTGCGGATGAAGTGATTCTTGAAATCTGTAAATATTTCGATGCTTATGATATTCTCCACTCATTCCTTCGATTAAACGATCGTTTCGATGGACTACTTGGCAGCCTACAGTTTGATCTGAACTTTCGACGCATCAGCAAATCCAGATGTGACTTTATCTACAAACACTTTCCATCAACAGCACAAATTCGTTCACTGCGTCTGTCTGGCAAGACGTCCAATTACGTTGACTTCTTCTTCACCCACTTTCCCCAGAACATATTGGTAAATTTTCGCTCTTTATCCTTGTTCGATATCCAACCAGAAAAAATGATCACAGTCGTGGTGCCACATTTCCCCTCTATGACACAACTATCGTCACTAAGATTGGCTATGAAATCACACGGCAAGACGGCACGTACTGCTTTCGACCAGGCCACTGCTATACTTGCAAACAATTTGAAAGTAAACAACACTCTCACTCAACTTGATCTTAGCAGCAACCAAATATCCGATAGAGGAGGTGAAGCGCTCGGAGAAGCGCTGAAAGTAAACAACACTCTCAATCAGCTTTATCTTGAATTTAACAAAATATCCGATAGAGGAGGTGAAGCGCTCGGAGAAGCACTGAAAGTAAACAATAGTCTCACTCGACTTGACCTTAGCAGCAATCAAATATCTGATCTAGGAGGTGAAGCACTAGCAGAAGCACTGAAAGTAAACAATACTCTCACTCTACTTAATCTTAGGAGCAACCAAATATCCGACAGAGGAAGTGAAGCATTAGCAGAAGCACTGAAAGTAAACAATAGTCTCACTCGACTTGATCTTAGGAGCAACCGAATATCCGAAAGAGGTGAAGCCCTAGCAGAAGCACTGAAAGTGAACAATAGTCTCATTCGACTTGATCTTAGCAAGAACCGAATATCCGAAAGAGGAGGTGGAGCACTAGGAGAAGCACTGAAAGTAAACAATAGTCTCAATCAGCTTTATCTTGGATTTAACAAAATATCCGATAGAGGAGGTGAAGCGCTCGGGGAAGCAGTGAAAGTAAACAATAGCCTCACTCAACTTGACCTTAGCAGCAACCAAATATCTGATAGAGGAGGTGAAGCATTAGCAGAAGCACTGAAAGTAAACAATAGTCTCACTCGACTTGATCTTAGGAGCAACCGAATATCCGAAAGAGGAGGTGAAGCACTCGGAGAAGCGCTGAAAGTAAACAACACTCTCAATCAGCTTTATCTTGGATTTAACAAAATATCCGGTAGAGGAGGTGAAGCGCTCGGAAAAGCAGTGAAAGTAAACAATAGTCTCACTCGACTTGATCTTAGGAGCAACCAAATATCTGAAAGAGGAGGTGAAGCCCTAGCAGAAGCACTGAAAGTAAACAATAGTCTCACTAGACTTGATCTTAGGAGCAACCGAATATCTGAAAGAGGAGGTGAAGCACTAGCAGAAGCACTGAAAGTAAACAATAGTCTCACTCGACTTGATCTTAGCAGCAATCAAATATCTGATCTAGGAGGTGAAGCACTAGCAGAAGCACTGAAAGTAAACAATACTCTCACTCTACTTAATCTTAGGATCAACCAAATATCCGACAGAGGAGGTGAAGCACTAGCAGAAGCACTGAAAGTAAACAATACTCTCACTCAACTTGATCTTAGCAGCAACCAAATATCCGATAGAGGGGGTGAAGCACTGGGAGAAGCGCTGAAAGCAAACAACACTCTCACTCACCTTTATCTTCGATTTAACAAAATATCCGACAGAGGAGGTGAAGCACTAGCAGAAGCACTGAAAGTAAACAATACTCTCATTCAACTTGATCTTAGCAGTAACCGATTATCCAGAGAGTTATCATTGTTGCAAGAAGATGGAATAGTTATTCTCTAGTATGCTTCGGATGCAGCATGGTTTTGTTTTTTTGTGAAGGCTTTCCCGTTTCTTTGTGCTTTTTTATGTGCGATTATTTCCTGCGTTTCTTGAATTGTTCAACATGATTTTAAGCGCTTAAGACATAGTGCACATGTGCTAGATTGCTTGCACTGACGAGGATAGAACTCCAAGGAGAGTTAGTACATTTACTCAGTTCATGGCATGGAACTATGATTTCGAAAGCTAGATCAGAACCGATGAGCTCTGGTTCATGGATAAATGATGTTGTTTAGTGGCCACGAATAATGCAGAAGGCGCAATGTGAATTCTTAAAAATTACTTTTAGCCGTTATTTATGAATTTTCAGCGTATTTCTCTGGGCCATTGTTGTGTACTGAGACCGCATGGTATTCGATTTTTCTCAAATAGATACCTGAAGAAGCGAATGCCTAATCGATCTCTAGCTTTGTGGAAGTTTTACTCGAACTTTTCTTCGAGAACATGGTGAAATCAATTTTTAATGTTTTCTTCAACCACATGATACTTCTGTCATGTCATAATCTCTATCTGAAAGTTTTATTAAAAATCGACGATATGAGTTCGTCTTCGGCTAGATCGTGTGACAATATAGGGTACACGTATAAGTAGTTGTGCTAAATAGATCTCAGCTACATCACTTTTTGTTTTAGAGGAAAATACTTTTTACATTTCTCTCATCAAGATTTTCGCACGCAACGTTTGGCTAGACTTACCTAACTTTATGTGGTCTGCAACGCAGATGGACTAAAAATAAAATATTATCATTGAAAAGCCTATTCTATCAGCAGTGACTTTTAAGCAGCTTAGTATCATTAAAATATTAGCAAACTAAGTGCACGGTAAGAATAGTTTGGATTGACATCGCTTGGTTGGTGTTTGGTCTGTATTAGCATGGCGTTCGGTAATTTTATTAGAATTTTATCTTTTGCAGCCAGCATAACTTCAAAACAAAAACCTGAAAATACTTATATCGGGGTTCTAAGAAAAATATTCACCCTATCGATTCCAAACAACATTTTTATATATATTTCTATTGATGTGAAATAAAAATTCCAGTGAACTTATATGAATTTCATCCAAAACAAAACTTGACAGAAACACACCGATATCTACCCATTGTAATGTTTAAACAACATTAAGTATCAAATAATCACTCAGATTTCGAATCAACAAATATGTTTTTTGTATTCGAAGACACTTGTCGGTTCGTTTTTGACTTCTTTTCTAGTCTGTTTCATCGATGGTACTCTCGATAGTAGTAGTAGCAGAATAGATAAAGGACGCCACCAGTTAAGAAAATTATTTAACTAAGGACTCTGATATATGGATGTGTAGAGCCGACATCGGCGCCCATTATAGTATATTTGATTTTCCTCCGAAATGGCGTGCTCCCTAGACAATTTAACCTTTTTCAACTCGATGTGACTTTGACATCGCGTTAGTAAAATCGTTCTAGGCAAAAAACAACTCAAGATTTAAACTTTATTCTAGCCGCATTTTGTGCAGAATTCAGTTCTCTATTTTGCGCACGATAAGAAACTTCTACAGAATTTCTATATTATAGTATCTATAGATACAATGAGCTACAGTGAACCGATATTCAATAGAAAATAACCCCTCCCTTTACCCTAGAAAACAGCATTCAAACGTTGAGAAATGGCGATGGCTTGTATGAGTTATAAGTTAAACATTGCAAACAAGTGGTAGTTGAGAAATGACTCTTTTCAAGGTTTTTGCACTTCCTACACATCTCCGGGAAAAGCCAAGGTCATATTTGTAATCAACAGACAAAACCGCATCGAATAGCATATATTATTATCATTTATCACATACAAAAAAGTTTACGCTACTTTTTGTACCATCCAAGCGCCCTTGGTTCCAGTATTAAACAAAACAGAAGTGTAATTTAGAGAT